CTGAAGCATTATCGAATTTTAATACCACCTTAGAAGGAACTTAGAATGAGAAAAAGGATTATGTCCTTCCTTAAAAAAAACCAAAACAAAGAAAGAACACCTGAACACAAAGGGTCTGTGACAGTTTCAGTTCACTCACTTTTTACCTTCCCCTTCTGTCCCAGCTAAGCTGCTAGCAAATGTGCTGTAGCAGGTCACCTTTGGGTGCCTGCTATTTTAAGGGCAGAAGCAGGCAGCTACTAGGTGCCTGATAAGAGCAGCCATTTTGGGAACACTAGGTATATAAAGGCTGCAGTTTGCTGTTGCCAGCCCAGGCAGAAACATGGCCTAGCTGAGCTGCAGCAGGAACAACCCAGCAGGCAAGGACAAGAGCTTATGGGGATGGACAGGAGGCTCTTGGTCCTGGGCATGACCTAAAACTGCACCCTGCCAGGAGTGGTGGTCTGGTGGCACTCTCAGTGGTGCGGGAGCCCCCAGGAAATACCAGGCTAGTTATCACCTCAATGAAAGGCGGGGCACGGCACCATAATAACCCCACCTCCCACATCCCTGGTGGGTTCAATCGGTTCAGGGGGAGCCCAGGCTCATGGGAGTCCTGAGGCAGGGCCCAGGTCAGCAGAGGAACCTGGAGCAGTGCCCAGGCTCTTTATGAGTCCTATGGCTGCAGGGACCCTGAGAGGGGGCCAGGCATGGCTATGGCCACCTGAGCCTCACAGGGTGCAATACCCCAGGGTAGAGGGCCAGGCAGGGCTAGGGCCACCTGAGCTGGACAGAGTGGCAGACCCCAATGAGCTCCAGTGAAGGGGCGGTGTGGGGGTATAAGACCTTAGTGCCAGGCAGGGCTGTGGCTACCTAAGCCCCAAAGGGTGGAAGACCCCAGTGTGGAGCCCCAGTGAGGGGGCCGAGGGCTTGAAGCCCAGTAGGTATTTGTTTGTCTGTTTGTGTGCATGTTTTAGGAAAGAGACCCAGCGCAAGCCACTGGTGGATGCCAACTGCGAGGTTTGGGCTACGACGTAGGGAAGAAACAGAGCCACAAATAACACCCCCTGGCATTGGGGTGAGAATGAGCAGCTTCCTGCCTAATTAGAACTAATTAAGAAACAACAAGGCGTGGCAGAAAAGTGAGGTGGGTGGTTAGCCCAGAGACAGGTGGGCAGGCCAGCATGAGGTCTGGCCTTGAGTGTGCCCATGTCACACATGCTAACAAGGAAAATTTATTTTAAACAGAAATTGTAAGTGAAGGCTCACTAGATTTCTTTGCTGCCCCCCAGAACCAAGGGAATGGGTGTATAACATCTAGTATTAAAGGGCATACAAAGTATAAAAACAAGACTAAGTGGTAGATCAGAGATTCTCAACTTTTGCAGACTCAAGGCACCCCCCTCAGAAAATGCCAGTTCTTAAATTTTCACTCATTTTTTTGACTACAGATAAAGAGCAATTCTTAGTTACAAATAACTCAGAAAGACCACAACAGATTCCAGAATGTTTTTAATACTATGAAATCTATTTGAAATTTGTCTTTTATCTTATGAATCATACTGGCATACCTAACAGTGCTAACTCTGCATGGAACCCTACATCACCCTTGAGAGGCTCTCAGGACACAGTGGCTGAGAATCACTGGGACATAGCCATGAAAAAAGAAAGATCTTAAGGAAAGTACCACAAGCATACTAGAAAAAAATGTCTTAGTACACTGAAAATCAACGTTGTATATAGTACACAGATTAAAATTTGAAACTTTATCTAAGTTGTTGTGCGCACACTTAATAAAGAAGAGGGTTCAAGAAAAGAGCCAAAGGAATTACCTAAGGTCTGGATTGCCTGTTTTACATTACAAGAACAAAGAAGCTCTCTCTCAAAGTTAACAAAAGAAGTTGAGAGGTTACTAAATCATTATCAATAAGTTCCTATGCAGGCAGAAGACTTCTGAATTTCTAGTATTACAGAACTACTTCAACTAGCAAGAAAAGTCACAGAAGTCGTACAAGACCCAGCAAATTTGAACTAAATAAATTCAAATTATAACCAAAGCTTTTCCCACTCCCAACCAGAAGAATGATGGCACTGTTGGAACAACTTATCTAGAAAAGTTATGGCTTCTCCATCACATAACAGAAATACCTCAAGAATGCATTCCTTTCTAAAAGATTAATTTTACCTTAACCTTAAGTTATGGTTGATGCAGGAACCACTTGTAAAAAAAATCTATCCCCTATATTACGTAAAAGGGCAGACTAGATGACCACAACAATTCCTTTGACCTTAAAATCTACTACTTTTCAGGCATATTAAAATGTTTAATGATAGAATTTCAGTCTTCACAGAAACCACAGATACCAACAGGATAGAGGGAAAAACAGGGTTTAAAAGGACTGAATGCTCTGTAAGTCATCTCAGTTTTCTCTACAGCTCCTTAAATTGAGAGGAATAGTCTTCAGCAGTTGATTCTGATGAGGCCAAAGAGATGTAAGATCCCTGGGATTGCTTATTCATACTTACCCTTGTCAACAAAGTAAATTAGCAGGCAGTGGGCTTACTGCTGTAATGTGAACCTATTAGTTAACTACTTCCCCCTTCCCTGCAAAACCTTTATTTCAAACTGTAGAAAGCAAGACAGTAAAGAATTTTGAAAAAGTACTCAAAATTGAAGACTACAAACAAGTCAGAAATTCCTGATTCAAGTCTTCCCTGGCAAACCAACTCCCATATCCATCAATAAGCAAAAGCCTGACAGGAAGGGAACAGACATGGGGTGATTAAAATAACTATGGCTAAGAAGTGGCTAAAGGAGTTCCTAATTTAAATTTCTAAGGACTAATATTTTTCTGAAAAATTTTCACAAAAAAAAAAAATCATCCTATTTTGGTTACCTACAGAGCAGGATGAAACAAATGACAACGGCACAAAAAAATCCTGATTTTTAGGGCAGTTGTAGTAGAGCAATTTACATTTTCAGATGTTATCTCTTCACTGTTATGTAGTATACATTAATCCTAACAGAACAAAGATATAACAACTTATACATTGAATAAAAATGTTTGCTCAAAGAAAGTGTATGCTAGTGTACCAAATTAACAAGGATAAGCATGTAGATGTGCAAGGAGTGGGTTCATAGAAGCCCATGTTTCACCTGTCACTGCCAAAAGGACTTTCTTTCTTTCAGTAAAATTCAGCAAAAACATGATTTTTTATCAGAGATCCAACTCGTCACAGTTGACTTGGAGGCTTTCTAGTCCATGAAACCAATACCAAGAGTTTTTCATTTCCATTGAGATCTTCCTACTCACCAGATAAAAGTTTACTGCTCTGTAAGGAATTAAGTTTTTGATAGGAAGGAGGTTCATAGCTTGCAAATAAGGGAACAGTGGAACAACACAAAACACGGGGTTACCTTGAGTGATAAAAAGAATGGAGAGCAAAATAATTTTGTTGGCAAAAAATTCAGGGACAGCAGACTGTAGGTATCCTCCAGCAGACCTACATGAAATATGAAGTTCTACTTCCTATAAAAGTATATGATAAAAAAAGATAAACTTCCTAACATAAATTAAAAGCTATTTGACCTCTCAAAAAATTTTAGTCCTTAGGATTTGACTAATTTCTGTTTTGAGGGTTGTTTTGTTTTTGCTCACAAGTTCAGAGCAAATATTTTACTATTCCAATGTCTTCTAAATATTCCTCAAGTATCAATTTTAAATACCTTTACAATTATTATTTTTAGTTATACAGATCTGGAAAATATTATTATTTACAATAAAGCAGAATCTTACTGACAAGAATCTCAGTACCTACATTTTCATCTCTTCTCCCCCAGCATACTTTGTGGGGAAAAGGAGTGGAACATTTAGGGAACATTTAAACCCATCTAAGTGAAAGTAGATCGATCTACACCTGTAACTGAACAGAAGTCCAGCACAAATAGACTGGTCTAAAATGGCACAAGCAACTTAAGATAGACATTGGAGGTATGGCTCAACTGAGATCGATTCAGGTTAGACTGATATAATGAATTTGTGTAATGTTCCTTAGAGAGAAGGATTAATTCTTGGAAAACAAAACACCTTTAGGGAAAATTATTTAGTAAAATCTATCAAAGAGTCCCAAGGTAACAGTATAAAGAGAGAAGCAATCGTGGTCCAGAGACTTGCCATAGCTAAAATCAAAAGGACGAAAGAAAAATCATAAAAGCATCTTCGTTTGGTATAAGTAAATAATGAGCATCATGCTTAAATCATTAATTATTGGCAGACTGTTACTGAAAAATAAAGTAAGCAAATATTCTAAGATAAAAAGACTTGCTGACCCTCTTATTTGAAAACATATTTAAATTGTTGCATCTCTATTAAATTATAAGTTCTTTTTTTTGGGGGGGGGAACTTCTAGAAGCGATAAAGAAAACAAGTCAAAATTACTTAATACTTAAAAAACAAAACAAAACCCACCATTCTGATCTTTTTTAAAGAAGATGTTTTGAAAACTCATTTTAGAGCATAATTAATTTCTGATCCAATTTAATTCCTGTTGTCTTTTTAAAAAATCTCTGAAAAATATACTTAAGAGTTATCCTACACTCTTCTTGTCATTTATAACTACATTTTCAGGAAGAGGCCAACTAAAGCCCTGATCCTCTAAATACCTGGGCACAAAGTATTTTTTGTGCGTACCCCCTACCCAAGTGAAATTACCCACATGAGCCAAGTCAGCTATGGACTGAAGTGTTTATGAAACCGAGGCCTAGCTTCCTAAGCAGAGAAGAGAATTAAACAGATGAAGTACTGTCAAATGCAATAAAAAACAAACACCAAACCAAACCAATTTAATGGTCTCTCCCACCACTAATATCTTTTAGTTATAACACACTTATGTGCATGTAGGAGAAGGAAAATGTCTTTCAGAAAAAATAATTGTAAAGTTAGTGTCTCTTTAACAGAATTATAGTCATTCACAACATTAATATTTTTCTTGGTAATTATGCTACATATTTCCATCTGGGACTGCATGCTTCAAGTATGAAATACTTACACAGATTCTGCATCTTTTTCTTTCTTAATTATTCCTGACAAACCAAAAGGCTTTCTTTTCCTTGGTTTTACCCCTACAGAAAAAAATGTTTATCCTTAGATCACAGAAATGAATTAATTCATATTTAACAATGCCACAGACCCTCTAGTCCATGCAGATATTAAAAATGTGGCTATAGTTTGTGAATGAAGCAAAAAATTTAATTTTCAAAGTAAATCTGAAGCCCAGTACACCTGCTTACAAGGGGGTAATAAAATGAAAATGATTTCAAAGTTAAAGTCTGTTCATTATAACATTTAGCATAGTAAAATTGGCTTTGTATCTTACATCGTAAGTTATAAGTTACATGTCATTAGAAAGTGAATGCCAAACTCAGATTCTCTCAGACTAATGTCATGTCTACTCTTCTCCTAGATTTTTGCTGAAGTTGACTAATTTTTTCAAAAAACAGAAAATATGGGAGTGATCATTTAGAATCACAGGATTGAAAGGACTCAAGGCTCACTTAGTTTAACCCCCTACATGAACGGAAGATACACTATTCCTGTATCACACCAAACAAATGTTTTTCCAGCCTTATTGCTTCATGTCCTGCCCTCTGCAGCAAGCAAGAACAGCTGTTCTCTTTATGGCAGCCTTTCAAATATATGATAACTACTATCACATGCTCCTCATTCTCGCATCTCCTTTTCTTCAAACTAAGCATACTTAGCTCTCTCACCATTTCTCGTATGGCTTGCATTCCAACTTCTATGGCATCTTCACTGCTTGCCTCTGTATCCTCTTCAGTTTCCCTATTATCTTTTAAAAATGTGCAGCCCAAAACTGCACACAATATTCCAGCTGAGGTCTAACTGCACAGACAGCTTCAACACTATGGCTCTGACTCCTTTTTTCCCAAATAACCTCTTAGATGAAGTGAAGTGTGCTTTCAGTAAAACAGTTATATATTACAGGGGCGGGCAATAGGGAGTTTTGATGAGCTGTTGTGGGCTGGATCAGCACCCCCCAACAACCTTCGCAGTAACTCAGCAAAACTCCTTAAGGGACAGATCCTGTTGGCCTAGCCACATGGGTCCAAGCCGCTGCTTACTGTTTAGGTTCTGTGGGCTGCCACTGCTTAGCTGGGGAGCCCAGCCCCATCCTGGCTGCGGAACTGGTACCCATCACAGAGGTGTGTGGGCAGTCAGCCATGGTTCTGTTCTGAGCTCAGCCCAGATGGGGCGTGGACAGGCAAGGAGCCAACTGGCTGGGATCCCTGGCTAAGGAGAGGCAGCCTGTGGGGCCCAAACAGTAAGCAGCAGCTTTATGGACAGAGCATCAGAAGCTGAAGGGCCCCAGAGCCAGCAGAACACATGTGGCTCCCAGAAACTCTGCAGACCCAGCAGGGGTTCAGCTCTTTCTGCGGATGCCCTGGCTTGCAGCACTGTATGGAACTGAATATTAGCCCAGTCTGAACAGTGCCAGGAGAGAGACCTAAGCAGGCACCATTTGCAGCCCCTGTGCATGGATGGAAAGAGCCAGGATGGCAACAAAAGGAGTGGAAGCAGGAGCCTGGCAGTGGGTTGGGGCTCGGGAGGCAGCAGAACCATTGCCAAAGTAGGGAGCAGCAAGAGGGACTGGGCCACAGGGAGGAAGAGCACAAGTCAGGCAGGGCTGTGCTGGGCACATGGGCAGCAAGTGCCAGGTGAGAGCCACACACTGGGGGCCATGGTGGAGATGCTGTGCCATAGGGGCAATCAGAAGCAGCAGCTCTGCAAATACAGCCAGGCTCCTATCCCAAGGAACTGGGCATGGGGTCCCACCCTCCAGCCCGTGTCAGGCAGAAATGCTTCCTACGATTGCTGGTGCAGGCGAGCAGAAGTGGCCACCTTGGTGCTGGGCCTGTGGCTCAGAAGCCAGCAGCTGCCTCCGCTCTCTTGGTTGGCATGTCTAGCGCCATCAAGCATCCCAGCCCAGGCTGCCCTATGTGCCTGGGCTGGGTGGAACCAAAGGACTTGCCATGGGCTGAACAAAAACTGTCCATGGGCCAGATCCACCCTGTGAGCCATATTCTACCCACCCCGATATAAAATCTGAGCATCTGGAATAGTAATTCAACACCTCTTCTAGCAGTTTTGCTCATTGATATGATCCTTTTGCTGGGACTACACTAGGTGGTATTGATGCAGCTGAGATATTTCTGCAGTCTGGGAAGATTTTTGCTTAGATAACTGGAATCCAGAAAGCCAGGACAAATTTATATCATAGCAGGCAGATTGATGGATTCTTTTTTCCTTGATACAATAATAATTCATGAATGTGTAAATTTGTATTTATATATTGTTCATTTCAGAAAACACTCAAGTCCACAAGGAATTACTAATGGGGTATGACGCTAGTTCTCAAAAGCATGCATTTGCTCCACTGTCTAAATATTTGGAGGTCCCTCAACCGTAATTTGGGCAACTAAGAGTTGCCTGCACTTAAAAAAAAAAAAAAAACACCTCTTCCCACAATAGCTATTATATTGGCAACCCATGCTCCCAAAAGGAGTGAAGACACACATATGCAATGGTAGTTTATAACGTGAAGAAAATAAACTATATACTGACAAAGTACTTTGCCTACAAATTTCTCTACATTAGAATATCTGTTGGCATAATCAATATAGATGTATATTCCAAAACTTTAAATGCAAACCAGGGCTTAGCTTGCCACTTGTAAATTATCCAGTCAATTGTTAATGTCTGATCTACTAGAAATAGAACACCAGACTGGAAATGACAAACCAAATGGTTGCAAATCGAAGTGTAGCTGTTTATGAAAAACATTTTGATCCTTTAAGAATTTTATATAAATTTTGTCAAGAAGTGGTCCTGGACTTTTTCTTGAATGCCAATTTTTAATTAAAAAAAAAAAAGTTTCAAGAGTACTACTACTTAATAACTTTCCAAATTTTTTTTTTTAATCTAGTAGCAGCGTAAGAAATTAACAACTCACCTTCAGTTGCAGTAGATGTATTGCATTCTTCAAAGTCAATAAGGCCTTAAAGAAAATTGAACATAAATATTAGTTATTAGCTTTAATCTTAAGAGACATTTTCTGAGATATTTTAAAAAATAGCATCTTTTTGTCCTTAATACAAAAATCTCACTAGGAACTCATGTTCTGAGAGTATTCAGCACTAAAACACAGTCAACCTGAAAATTCATGCAAATATGATGATGACTATATAATTGACTATTGAAAGACTTTATGATCTCAAAAGTAAAAATTGAAAATGTCAAGGAGATCAATATGAACTTGATTGGGTTGCACACAGTTATGTCTGGCTACTGAGAATACCACTGTCAATATAATTTAATATGTATTCTAGTCACAGTCGCTACGTTAACATGATTCTAGGCAGCTTACATCCCATTGACTGTTCATTCAAATTTATACCAATAATACTATAATAAATTAACTTTGCAATTATTTTTTTAACAAGAGAGATGCAAAGGGAAAAGGCAAACAGTGCTACGGCACTACCCAATTGTACTATTTTATATTAGCTTTGCCATTCATCACATGCATTTCCTTTGGGACTTTTACATAGTAAGAAGGGAGAAAAACCACTTTTAAAAATACGAAAAAGTGAAAAAAATAACAGAACAGCAAAAAGCATCAATGCAGACATGGTACCTAAATTACTGTTAAGTCACTGAAATGAAAGACTTTAAGTGAACAGTACTGTTTTAACAAAAAAAAAAATTGCCATTGTGGACAGTTTAGTTTAGGAAACAGCTTTTTGGATTGAGACATTCCTCTGTTTTTAAAGTGAGCATCATAATGGCATTCAACTTGTGTGCCTGTGTTTGTGTGCACACACTTACGATTATATTTACATTACACATAAAATGGCAAACTATTGCTTCCTCCCCCTGATACTGTATAGTAACCATGCTCCCCCCATCCCTGCCACATACACACCTACGTCATCTTAAAAAAATTACCATTCTCAGGAAACAACCCAAGCCTGGAAAATTTCAATTACAAGTGACTCAGAGCTCAAATGGAAACTTTTATGCATCATTAAATATTGAAGTGTTTCCTATTCCCACTATAAGAAGTGCTTTATAGTGATACTTTGAAACCTCTTCTCAGTTTTCTGGTGTAAGAAATAACATAGGAAAGTTGTGTACCTTTTTATGAATTTTGATTTGGAAAAAGGAAAGAACAGTGCCCTGAGGCATTTTCTGTCTGTGACTTGGAAGAAAGTCATTCTTACACCTTTTTGAGAAACCTAATATTCAGACTTAAATGAAGCAGAGCCCAAGTACCTGAAATATGCAACTAAGATTGTTTTTAAACATACTGATATAGCAAATTATGTTGTATTACACAATATGTCACATTCAAACACTTAAAATGCATTAATTTTAAAAACTGTGAAGTTAGTGCTGATGTAAGCATGGGACTAATGCATATTCAAGTCATCCCAGCTTAGTTCTTTCTAAGGGCTGTGAAATATTTACCAAGTAAATCATAAAAAAAATTCTCAGAAGTGATGAGAAAATATTCATTTGGATCTTTCAGGTCAAAACGGTGTTCTATACATTAAAACTAATATACTTTATGATATTTTTCCCAGACTGCAATAAGATCTACACACAACTAAACGAGAAAAAGCAGTGCAATATAGTAAATTAAAAAAAAAAAAAAGAAGATAAAAATCAATTAACCTCTACATATATTTTTCCAAGTAAACTGACTCGGGGTATAGACAAGTAAGGAGCATTACATAATTCTAAAGAGATTTTCCATACATGAAAAAGTCAAAGCAATATCTAATTAAATACAAAAACATGTATCCTCAAAATAAGGATTTTATTGATATTCAATAAGATGCCAATCTGACAAATGCACGTACTTGTACACAAAGGTAGGCACACATACAGTTCTTTGTAAGGTTAGAATCTAGGAGCAGAACTATAATAACAGTTTAAAAATGATCTTTTAAAATTGTTTTAGAATAGCAATGGGCTGGATAAGGCCTGCCAATTGATCCAGCCCATGGCTGCCTCCAGCGACACACTGCATGAGGCCAAACCCTGCCTGCTCCTGCCTGGGGCAGTCCGTCTCCCGACCACCCACACCTGCCCTGTGCCTGCTGATGGCACTGCCCTGGCTCTGACCCCAGCCAGCATACACAACTTCCCAATGGAGCTGCTCCTGTTGCAGCTGCCCAGGTACTGCTTAGCTCCCCTTGCCTCCAGCAGCTCCTCTTCCTCCTGCCCCTCGCTGCTGTGCTGCTCTGGCAGGGGGGAGCTGCAGCTGGGCAGCTCTTGCTCCAGCATGTGGGGCTCTAGCTTTGGCTGTCAAATGCCTTCCACTCACTCCACGCACCCAGCGCAATGAGGTGGCCGAGTGGGTGGAAGATGGCTGGAAGCTGAAGCTGGATCTCTGTGTGCTGGGGAAGAAGCCACCCAGTTGCAGCTTCCCCCTGTCTGGAATGGCATAACAGGGGCAGGAGGAGGAGGGGGAGAAGCCACTGGAGGCAGGGGTAGCCAAGTAGTATCTGGGCAGCTGCAGCAACAGGAGTAGCCCTGCTGGGAAGCTGTGTGCACTGAGGCTGGGGAAGGGCCGTTGGCAGGCATGGGACAGGTGGGGGCAGGAAAACAGTGCTGGTTGCCTGGGATGGGAGCACTGTGAGGGCAGCCGCAGGCTGGATGGGGGATGAGAGGGGTGGGCAGAACACACCTGTACTGTACCACCTGGGCAAGCTCTATCCCCCTGCCTCCCCCACCCCTGGCCACGTCCCGGGACCTAGTATGCAGGCAGCCCCCCTTCACAAATCCATATCCCCCCCACACAAACACCCACACACTCCTCCCCTCTCCCCCATACAATATACAAGACTAAGACTTTATATTGAGCTATTATGCAATCACCTCTATATATACTACTCAAAAAAATATAAATCAGGACAAAAATATTTTTTGAGATAAAATATATTACAGTAGATGTTGGAGTTTTAGTATGATTTTTTTTTTTTTTTTTACATATACTTTGTTAAAATTATATCTTCTGAAATATTTTGTGTATGGGGCCCTTGATGGCTTACCAAAACTCATTAAGTGGCACACAAACTGAAGTAACTGCCCACCCCTGTTTCAGAAGCTTTAGAAATTAAGCATCAACATTTTAAGAAAGTATTTATCAATAAACTTAATTTCCAACGCTATTTATTTTCCTTTGATTTTAAAACAGGGGTGCTCAATCTGCAGGCCAAATGCAGCCTGCAGAGCCACTGCGTCTGGCCCATGAGTCTCCGCACAGGTTGGGAAATTTGGCATTGGGGGAGCAGTGGCTACGTTCACCAGCTGCCGAATTCACGTGCCCCCTCCCCCAGCACAGCTTGACCTAAGCCAAACCATGCCCCGTTCTCTCTGTGTCTCTGGGTTGGGGCCAGGCCATGCCCTGTCTCCTCCCCAGGGGCATGATCAGAGCTGGGCCATGCTCCCTCCCTGCCCTCTGCAGGGCTGATTCAGGTGTAGGCCATGCCCACCCTGCACCATGCTGGATCCATCCAAGTTGCCCCCAGCCACATGTAGCCCGTGGATGGACCAGGTACTGCTTATCTGGCCCCCCAAGGAAAAAGATTGAACAGCACTGATATAGTTGCTTCTCTTGCTTCTTGAGTGACCTATATGGATTTGTTTCAAGTTGACCAGAAAAAGCTCTCACTTAATATGCCAAGTATTTAATAAATAAAACAAATAAAGCTAAAAATACCTTAGATAGTAAAATACTCAAAAGTTAACATTTTTTTCAAGAGGCATTTTCTCAGACCATGCAATTTCTTTAACTCCTTTCTTGCCTGTTACGGCTGATGTCTTTAGAGACGGTAAGGATTCCAAACCTTTAACTGAAATAATTTTAGTAAAAGCACAGAGCTGAGGTAAAAATCCTACCTATAATCCCAACTTCACAACGATGTCTTTCTCTTCCCCCATTTGCTAATGAAAGCAGCAGTACTGAGCAGAAGGCAGGGACTTCTACTTACTTAACAAGCCATCAGAGTTTTTATGTTTTGTTATTTCACTTTCTACCATTTGTCTTTAAAGACTATTCCACATCCTAATACATGTGATAATTCCGTGACAATCTCTCAGCTACTCCAGTCTTGAGCATCCTGAACACAATAACTGACTGTACTAAATTGTACCAAAGTGCACGATGTAAGTAAATGCAAGGATTAGATTAAACCAAGAGAGTTAAACTCCCTTGGCCCCCTGAGCTGGACCTGGACTGTATAGCTTCTTACAAGCTGGATCCATACTGCAATTGTCATCCGAATCAGGCAAGAAATGACAAAGTTTTAGGCATTTTCATGATCCCCCATTATAGCCTATGGGCAAAACGTTGAAACTCATCAAAACAGCGAAACAATTTTGACAAAACGAAACAGGCCAGTGCTTCGGAATGGAACAAAATGAAACACTGTCTCTTCGAAATGGTGAAATGGAGGTCAAAATGAAATGATGGTGTTTTGCACAGCTCTATTGGGCAAACTGTGGCACCCTCCCCTTCTGCCCCTGCTGCACAGGCTCCCTGCCACAGGTCCCCTGCTGCCTGGGCTGCATGGATTCCCTGCCCCTGCCTCCCACCTCATGGGCTGTACAGAGTCCTGGAATCCCTGTGGGCCACACTATCCCATCTCCAGACTAGGACAACACTAGGACAGCACTCCAGAAGCATGGACAGGGGCAGAAAGTAGAAGCTGGAGGAGCGGGATGGGAAGCCAGGGACCCCAGTAACAACAGGAGTTGCACGAGGTCGCGGGGGGGAGTGGGAGGAGAGAAAAGTGGCATGTAGGAGGAAGCCTGCAAGCCTTAAATTAAGCTTTTGCAGGCTGCATGTGGCCCAGGGAACAGCCCTGTATTAGAAAATCAAATTAAGTATGTACTAAGTTTTATGGCAAGCAAGACTAGCTGGAACTACTGAGAGATCAATCTTATTTCAGAGCTATCAGTGCAGCTTTCCTCTGACACTAACATTCC